CAGTAGAATGAGCCTGTAGGGTCTCTAGTGATAACTTTCTTTTCTTTCCTGATATTGATAAATTTGTACCATTCTGGCTGTAAATTGTATTGGTCTTCTCAAAGAAAGAGCTTTTGGTTGAAATGTTTTTTCTGCTTGTAATTTTATTGACTTTTGCTCTTTAATTAATGAGACACCAAATTTCTATAACCTTTTCTTAGCCTTCCTTCTAAGGAGATGAAATAAAGCTGGGAAGTACATGGACAATTGCTAGCACAGCAGAAGGTAGAGTCCTCCCTGATGCAGCCTGGACTGCATTCCACAAATTCTTATGCCCTGTTTTAATTTTCTTTCAGATCAAAATCTTTTCTGATCTTCCTGAGCAATTTTTCTTTGACCTCGGGCTATTTAGGAGATTTTAAATTTGACTTTCAAGAATTTAGAGAGTATAGTCTCTGTTAGTAATTTTGAGTTTAATTTCATTATGGCCAGGAAACTTACTTTATATGATTTCAACTATTTTACATTTATTAACACTTGTTTGTTGCCTAGAATCTGACCTATTTTTTGAGGGTTCCAGGTGAACTTCAGAAAAGCAAGTGTCCCGTTATAGTTGGATGGAGCGTCATTGTCAATTAGGTGGAGGCAATCAGAGTCTAATTGCCAATTAGATCAAGGAGGCTGATGGTAATGTTCAGACCTTCTGTATCCTTCCCAAATTTCTGTTCACTTGTTCTATGAATTATTGCAAATTAGACAAAAACTCCAATTATCACCACCGTTTTCAACACTGAATTAGAAGTGGTAGGTAATACAGTAAGACAAGAAATTGTAACAGTAAAATAATTAGAACTGAAAGATGGTTACCACTATTCACAGATAAAACAACTTTTCATATAAAATATGAAGGCATTTATAGGTAAATTATTAGACTAAATAAAATATCTAATAGTGTTGCTTAATACTGCATCACCATACAAAGTAATTGCTTTGTACATTGTCACCCGAGAATTCAATCTGAAGAAGAAACTTCCCAGCCTTTCAGAACTGTGCAAAGTAAATTTACTTTTTACAAACCACCCAGTCTTGGGTATTCTGTTACAGCATCACAAAATGTACTAAGGCAGTATCCTCAAAAATTCAGTGAGTAATACCAGAAAAAAATTGTTTTAGAATGGAATGAATCCAGAGAAAAGATGGGGTTGCTGGTAATAAATGCCTGAACATTAAGGGAAAAGATGTGGTTCTCTTTCACCTTCAAAGGAATATAACACCCTCTCACTATATGCGTCCCAACAAAATTGTCAAACAAGAAAAAATTATATAATTTGATTATGTTTAATTTGACGAATGCTATTGAATACATATTTCACACATTGAGGCCCAAAGGCAGTAACAGTAAGTCTTGGTCTATGTAAGAGCACTGAGGATTCTGAGTCTTGTGTACCAGTGACCTATGCTCTCATTTGCTCAAGGACATCTTAGTTGCTCCCAAGTCTTGGAGTATATGGATAAAGCAGTTATCAACATCTGTGGGCAGGTTTTCCTGTGGACCCAAGTTTTCAACCCTCTGGGTAAATGCCAAGGAGAATGATAGCACATAGGGTGGTAAACTGTATTTGGATTTGCAAGCACCCTCCCAGCTGTTTTGCAAAATGGCTGCACTCTTTGCCTTTTCACCAGCAACCAATGAGAGCTCCTGCTGCTCCATATCCTCACCAGCATGTGGTACTGGCCATGTTTTAGGTTCTGGCCATTCTAATAGGTTTGCTCTCATTGCTTTAACTGCATTTGCCCGATGACATGATGAACAGCATGTCCATATAATCCTTATTTGATACCCGTGTATATTTTTTGGTAGGATATCTGCCAGCCCCATTTCTTCTTGGGCTTTTTTATTTTATCATTATTATTATTGAGTTTTAAGAGCTTTATATATTTTGGAGAACAGTTCTTTATCAGATGCATATTTTGCAAACATTTTCCTTACAGTCTGGTGCTATTTTCTGATTCTCTTGTCCGTGTCTTTTGCAGAGTGCAACATTTTAATATTCATGAAGTCCAGCTTATCAATTTTTTCTTTCATGGACTGCACTGCTGGCGAATCCATGCCACCACCAGCCCTTTCCCCCTTCCCTCCCCCTTCTATTCTACTGAAGTTATTTTACCTTTTTATTGCCTTTATTTGTAAATTATTTATGTAAAATAGTATTTCTCTAAACTTTTGTTTAGTGATTTAGAAGACTTTCATCTTGTGAAGCTTTAATTTATTCTTTCACTTTCTCAGTCTTTCTCTTGTTGTGGGTTTGATGGGAGGCTCAGGTTTGCTGGTCGTTCCTGGATCTCAGTATTGGAGCAGGTTGACACAGACCTGATGGTGGACACAGGGCAGCACAGGGTTGGAACTCAGAAGTGTCCACTGGAGATCCAGAAGGCAGGAGGACAGGGCAAACAGGAGCAGGGGGGACTTTCAGCATACTATGGGAAAAGGCTGAGAGCAGGAGAGAGAGCAGCGGGTGAGCCCCACAGAAGCCAGGATGCTGGCTGGGAGAGGTGCATTGGAAAGGAGGCCGGGATGCACCACATCCATCTCCGGTGATGATTTAGAAAATTGCAAGTGTAAATCATTAGTGCAAAGGTTAAGGATGATATCTCTGGCTCCCAGGGAGAGAGGACCATTCAAAACCACCTCTGTCGAGACTGCAATATAAACAAGAAACAAATCTTAGAGGACTAAATGGAATGACAGGCAAAAAAGAAAATTAAGTTGGACTGTGAATATTACATTGTGTAAGTTGGTAGCAGCAGCTCAGCAGCTGCCACAATCCCCCTTCCCTTCAAATGCGCTTGACCTGTAGGTGTGTCCCCACCCAGCCTGGGCTGGATGGGCCTCCCCAGGGTGTGTTTCCTGTCTCCCTCCTCCCAGTGCTCCTGGTCTGAGTCAGCACAGAAGCTGTTGGAAGAATCACACCTTCCCCTCCCTGTACTGGAGGTTGCCTCTGGCCAGGATTACCTCTCCCACCCCCATGGTAGCCTTGAACTCTCAGAACATCCTCTAGCACTTAGCACCACAGGCTCCGGGGAGACATCACAGATGCCGCTTTGACGAAGCTGCTCTTAAGGAGGATGTAAAAGAAGGTTCCGCATGTCCACTTGGATTCTAGAGCCATCACCTCACCTGGCCCCCGATTAATGAACAGAGGAGACCTTGCTGTAGATGTAGACAGGAAGAGACAAAGCATGCAGCCACTTAGCAACGGACGGAGCCTGGGAACACAGCCCCCAGATGAGGAACCTGGGAACACAGCCCCCAGACGAGGAACCTAGGAACATGGCCCCCTGGCTGCTCGCATCACACCTGCTATTGTCGCTGTTTGTTTCATTTACTTTATTATCTCCAGAAAGGACCATTTGATTTGATTTAGAGGTAGAATAACAATATTCTCCAAAACTGTTTCTCCCAGATCCAATATTGAACCCCTTTGAGACAGTGAGCTTGATAGAAACTGTGTGTCCTCCCCACCCCACAACCAGAAAGTTCAGATTCCAGAACCAGCTGAGCATGGAAGTTTCCTCTTCAGAGCTGATAGAAATTCCAGCACAGGGTGCAGTCATGCTCTGCTTTCACACTGCTGTCCTTTTTTTTTGAGGGGGGGGGCTCAGAGCTCACAAGGAGCAGCCCTTATTTGCATGTGAGACAATGTGGTCTTCATGGTGCCCTCAGCAGTTTGCATATACGAATCCACCAGTGACGCTCAGAATGTTGTGGAAGGAGGAGGAGTTGGAGAAAGGCAGACTCCACAACTGCTCAAATCTAGGGGTTCCTGATCCTTTAGTATGAGCCCACTCACATGCCAAAGGTAAGTTAGATTTTCAGAAAGGTGTCAATCAAGACAGACCATCATCCCGGGAGCTCCATGGCCCAGCCACGTTGGAAATACCTGAGTGCTGAGCAAAAATGCAGCCTCCAGGCTCCAAGGCAGCCACACACTTAGTCCCTGTGAACTCTTGCTGAGCATACTGGCCAGAGTCTTCTTGTCCCCTGCTGGTGGACACCAGCTCTCATTACCTAAGGGCCTTGGTGGACATCCTTGACCTAACAAACAGGTGTGCTACCTTTATCAACTGCGTCTGCTTTTCCAGGAAATTGAGCCTCTCCATACTCCTTATGGGTGTAAAGGTAAAATTTCTAAGCTGATTCTAAGCCGTAAAGCCTGGGTTAAAGTGTAAAAGACGGGGCATTGTAAAGTTTCCAAGCTGCAGGCCTGAGTTAAAAAGTGAAGGACCAGGTATTGTTAAAATCCTCTGTTAAGACAATACCTGAACTGCCCAGTAAATATTTCCCCTGGTCCTTTGGCTCTTTAATAACTAAGGGCTCTGAGTAGCCCGGCATGTAGGCATCCAGGCCCCAAAACCAATCAGTTTAAATGTGTACCCTGCTTAGGAGTGACCAATCACCCCTGCCCAGCCTGTTCCTGCCAATGAATGTACTAATCAAGTCTCAGAGTTGTTGTTCAATTTTCCCGCGCCTCATGATGATTTGTTCTGATGTATAAAAAGCCCCCCGCCCTCCCCAAAAAGTGTACTTAAGCTCTGTTTGACCACTGCTCTGGGCTCTGGGCTGCTCTATCTTCCTGAGTGAGCCTTGAGCCTCAGCATGCTGAATCAATAAATCCCCTTTTGCCAATTGCATGAAGCCAGTCTCTTGTGTGGTCTCTTCCTCCGACGCTTCGCCGGACCCTTACATGGGGAGGAAAAAGTTCCTAGTTTCCAACCAAGAGTTTTCTACTCAAGTGTAAAACCTACCAACCTCTTTTTGTAAACAATTCAAAATTGTATCAATTTTGTATTTTTAAAAAAATACAGTTGCATGCTCAAATTTTTATGGAAATTACAGAAAAGCACATGTCAAATTGCTCATGTAAAGATCCAAAGGAACTACATAAAAGGTATAGGGAATCTTTTTTCAACTTTAATCATTTTTTTTAAAAACTTTTAAAAAAATTATTTTTTCTGAGACAACATTTTCTAAAAATCTTAAAAGCATTTGTGATTTTTTTTTTTTTCTAAGTGCGGTGGTGGATGAAGTTAATGAATGTTTCTCCAGTCCTGGGCTCTGAAGTAGAAACTCAGGTCAGTACCATCCACAAGACCTGACCTCCCACAAGAAATCTGCAGTCAGGCGGGAGGAAGATGTTCTGAGGTAGCCTGAGATGGGCAGGCTGTGCTGGCCTGTTGCAGGGCTGCAGGGCAAGGGGCAGAGACTGGGCGGAAGAGTGGAACTCCCGAGGGAAGCAGCATCTGACATAATCCTGAAGACTGGATAGAATTGCCCAAGAAAATGAGGGAGAGAGGACAATGTGTCAGAACAACAAAGGGACCAAGAACAAAGGTGAGGACACAGTTGGGTGAGCACAGTGTAGGGAGCAGCACATCCATTAGGACTAGAGAGAAGGGTGAGCAAAGCTACAGCCACAAGGGAAGACCCCTCAGGGACAGAGCCACCCGGTCATCCTGCTGGTAGTCTCCCGGCCAGGGCAGTGCATGGCCAGAGAGTTAATGGTGTTCCCATAAACCTGCAGGATCTTCAGAGGGCTCCAGAGAACGCAGGGGCAGCTGCCATACTGAGAGGGTGTCTGGAGCCAGGTGTGGGCGCGTGCCTGAGCTCCAGGTTCCCTACGCCCTGTGATTAGTGGGTATAGTCTCATCTGGGCAGGACAGCCCAAGCAGGTGACCATTGATGACAGGTGGCTACCTCCACAGGGCTGCTCTGCATTTCTCTGGCCTTGGTTTCTTCTGCAGTGTTCCGCAATGCTATCTGTTAAAGTTTTGCACCACTAAAGAGAAAAATTAATTAAACTTAAATTTTCATTTTTATTTTATTAACTAAATTAAAAACTTTAAATCAAATTTTAATTAATTAAATTCATTTACATTTAAATAAGAAATTTTATTTTAATTAAAATTTAATGAGATTGAGAAAAATTTAATTCTGGGGAATAAGACTTTGTTGGGTAGGGTCGAACTCAGGGAGGCCATACACTATTGCAAATCTAAGCTTTTGTGTATCCCTCGCCACCCCCAGAACCAGTCTTCACACACTGGTGGGGTATTGACCCCAGTGAGAACACATCTTCTGTTGGAGGGGTGTGTGAAGGAATAAACACACACGTTTGTCCTAAGTTTTTCTAGAGATCTGAGTTTTTCTAGAGATCACTTCAATACAAGTTATAAACACTATCCATTTATGTCACAGAGGCAGAAAGCTTTCACAAGGCAGCACCAGAACCTTGGGTACTAAATTTAGGCTCATTTACAAGGGAAACATTAGTCTGTGAGTGATTTATTACTCAAGGGGGAATGTGGGCCTTTATTTTTTAAATTGCTCTTATGCAAATGTTCCAGGACTTTCCAAGGAGCATAGTATAAACAATGTAAATGGCAGTGCCATTGTATCATCCTTCAAGAAAAGGAGGGCAGGAATGCCCTGGTCCTAAAATGGCCCTCCCAGCTCACAGGATTAAAAGCCCAGGGAACTAGGAGAGCCCGCCCAGCTGGAATGCCCTGTCAGTGTCACCTAGAAGGACTCTGGCTTTCTCTCATGTATGATGGGAACAAAGGTGAGTTCGTGTCCTCTGCAGAAAGCTGCTCCTTGGGATGCTGGTCACACAAGCAGCCAAGCAAATAAATGGCTGATGTCGCTGCTACTGTAGCCTGACTCTAAAACCTCTCCCTGGTATCTGTGCAGATCAGAGCACACAAGAGGGAAGAGCCTCTCGGGCAGCTGCCCCAGGACAAATCGTCGTAAGGGACAGGAGGTGCTGTTCTCTGGCAAAGCACCATAGGCATCATGAGCAAGAGGCATGCCTGTCCAGCTGGTCACCACTGGATTTCCTGGCAAAGTCCCCAACAGCTTGTCACCAGGTTCCTTCCCTGTAAACATTTTTCAATGAACCTTCACATCTCTGTGTACCTTCCTTGTCTCTCAGCAACCTATCCCACTGCCCTGGCATAGCAGGACTGTGGACATTACAGATATTTTATGGGGAAGTCTGAAACGGCAATATGAGGTGCCCATTCAAAGCATCGGGCTCAAATTCAGAATAGTCAAAGGCAAGAAGAAGTTGGGAAATTTTTACTTAATGGGACATTCCATAGCACTTACATAGGTGGAAGTATTTGAGGTAGAATGGTTTAATCCCAAGTAAAAACAATTGCAGTTTCTTTGCCATCAGATAGCTAAGACACACGTTGACCCTAAAGTTCTTGAACTTGAGTGTTTACAACTGGAAAACCTCAGTAGATAAGCGGTCTCCTTTTTGCAGACTAAAGGAATTCTGCTTCAGAGATTTTCCTTTTCCTTTTTCATAATCAATATTTAGTTTTCTTTGCATCTTTCTCTATTAAACTGTAAATAATTTTGACGTGCAAACTTTTCCCTCAAATTTTTGAAACAAATTTGCTATTTTTTGAATAAATTATTAAAATGACCATATCACTAAATATTATATTTTAATTGGATTTCTTTTTCTAGTGAGTTCAAACATTTTAAAGTTATTAGTTACTTAAAGTACTCTTTGTTGTGTTTTTAAAAACAAATTTTCTATTCATGTCTATTCCAACTTCTTTTTGTACTGAGAAATATTTCTTTTTCTTATTAATTTGTAAAAATGTCAGATAAGTTGTAAATGTTCTAAGTTTTGCGTACATTTAAAGTCTGACTGCTTTTTTCAAGAATTTTACTAATCTTTTCTTTATGCTTTCTTTACTCCAAGATTATACACATGCCATATTTACTTCTTTTTTCTCATGGTTTCATTTTAGTGGTTAAATATTAGTTTATCTAACATTAACTTTTACATTTTCATGAGTAGTAGGTAGAATTTTTTATTTCATAAATGTACATACTTTCCTAAAAGTTAAGTAGCTGCCCCAGGTTCAAATATTTATTAATTCTCTCTTTCTCAACTCTCTACTTTCAATGTTCAAGGTTATCTTTGGATTGACTGTTAGTACTCATGACTGAGTAAACTGGGTCATGGATAATATAATATACCTCTTCCATTGAGACTCAAGTTTTAGAAAATGGCTTAGTCTGAGATGCAGAGTCTTAACTTGGCTTCAGATGACCTGCTTAGCTTTTTCCCAAGTAAACACCATTAAAGGCGAGACGTGGATAAGATGAGTGTTCGGTTCATCTCAGTCTCAGAAAGCCCCTCTGAGAGAGAGCTCATGAATGTCTCTTAGCTATGAGAGCCTCCCAGGTTGTTGTCCACATTGTTGTCTTAAGTACTCAGTAAGAACTCATTGAATCCATGTGACTCTGGGCATGTTCCTTGACTTCTCTGCCCCTCATTCGCTTCACTTGCAGAATGGGGTAATAAGAAATAAGAATACCTACCTGCGCTGCTGGGGGTGTAAGTGTTAATATGTATAGACTTCTGTATAGGGCCTGCTATCAGCTGTTGCTGTGATTGAGGTTTACCAAATGTCAGAAGTAACTATAAATTCATTGTTTCCTTGAGACCTTTGTCACCTCTTGCTGGACTTTCTGGTCCCTCATTCTAAGCTACCAGCAATTTCTACTGCACTCACTCTCTCCTATCTCAGCACCTTTGCTAACATCCCTCTCCTTGCCGACAATGCCAGGCCACCTCCCCCCCACCCATCAGCCCTGACCTTGCCTTGCAACCAGACTTCAAGATATGCTGGGCCTTAACTTCTCTGAGTCCCATGCCCCCCACTCGCACCCCAGCCCAGGCCATTTGCCCCTTGAGTCTCTGGACTTCAGTATATCAGGGCATTCCTCCATTTGTTCTTTCATGGAGCAACATTATTGAGTGGCTACCATGTGCCAAACCCTCCACAGGTCCAGAGGGCATCTTGTCTTACTGCATGTAGCGAGCACTCAGTCCATGGGGTCTGTGTGTGTGTGTGTGTGGGGGGCTTCAGTATATCCTGCCCTGGAGAGGGCTATCTTGGCTCCTTTCCCAACCATCAAAGCCCTTCTGGGGCACTCTCAAGTGCTCTGCAGTCTAATTTGAGCCTAAAGAAGGAAAGAGCCTCCTTACTAGAAAACAGATGAGAATGTGGTGATATAACTTAGACATTCCACTGTCTTCCTGGGAGAAATAAATGACTTATCAGCTTCACCAAATGAGTGCAGACAGTATTTCTCCCACACCTCGTTTAAAAACAACACCAAGGACTCCCTTGCTGCTGCCTTCATTGGAAAGCTCCACTAGCTGGTTCCACTCAGGAGTGGTTTCCAGGCTCTTGATCTGACAAGGGACATCTGACAGAATTTCTCTGTAGCCTGTGTCCTCCCAAGGCTCCATCCCTCCCTCCCTCCCCTCGCCTCCAGCCCCTCTTTCCAGGAGAGCTTGTCTGGACTCCGCATCAGAAAAGCACCGCCTTCCTCCACCTGCTCTTCCCTGGGGGCTGGGGGCTAGGGACGTTCTTGCCCTGGAGCCCTTGAACCAGGATCAAGTCCCAACGCCTACTGTCTGCTCTTGGTGTACCCGGGGTTTCCAGGAACGATGAGCACTCTGGCAATGAGCACTCCCTCCCACACTCATGACCTAGTTCTTTCCAGTTCACTCAGTATTTTGGCAGAACAGATGTCAAGATGCATGCGCACTACATCCTCCCAAATGTGGCTGTGAGCGTTCCCCAGGGATCCAGGGCCCGACATACGGGTGAACGCGTGCGCCCTCTAGTGGCTTTGCAGGAGCACAACACGGCGTTCAGAGCGAGTGGTCCCTTCCCCATAAGCAGAGACATGTTTCCTATGGTCCTTTATTTCAAAGATAATAGTGGGGAAACCCTACCCTGTAATTTAAAGTTAAATAATAATGAAGTTAAACCACTTTGAATATCCTTGAAAAACTTTTCACTTTTTAAAATGAAAGTTATAATTTGAATGTAATATGAACGGGAATGCAGAATTCTAACGCATCCCCTTGAGCCGTAATTTCCGAATGGCATATAACATGCTTACAAAGCAGGCTTCTGAGCAACGTGCGCGGCAGGAGGAAGCGCAACGTTCAGCCCAGCAGATGGAACAAGAGCGCCCCGGTCGTGGGCGCAGAAGCAGCCGCCACAGCTCTTCACGGGGGCCACGGGTGTCCGAATGGGGCCAGGGGTGTGCACCTTACGGCTGCAGATCCCGTGTGGCCTGCCATGTCCTTGCTCACCATCCCCGCAGGACGGCTACAGACCAAGAGGCCAGCAGCCCTTTGAACTCCGCCCTCGCTGAGGGACTACTTAGCTCCCCACAATGAGCACCTCTGCTCTTCTTAGGACAGCAGAGGTTTGTAAATAGACTTCCAGAGCCATGTCACGGCACCGATGGCCAACCGTGGCACATGTCCTGTGGCAGGGTTAGAGCAGGGGTCACACTGCCTTGACAACATTGTCTTCATGTTCTGAGACCAGAGTCACTTTCTAAGGAACAGAATCCTGGTGTTGAGTGAAGCCATCAGGCCACAACACCAGCTCACCATAAAGCCTTTGTTAAGTGCTGCTGGGTCTCAGCCCCTCTGCAGGAGGAACTGAAATCAGCATGTGGCCATCGACAATGAGCTTGTTCTGGTCACTGTCACCACCATGTCATGCTCACTAGCTTCTCCTCTCCCCAGCACTCACCTCAGTGTGCTCCTGCTTTCTCATCTGCTGGGGGCATGGGGACAGAGAGACCCCAAGCAGAGCCATGGTGTCCTACACCTGTGGAAGTGCCATCGGGTTTGTGGAAGGTTTTCTATACAAGAAAAGGTGACAATAGTAATCTCACTAAACCTTTTGGCACCAGCCCCAACACACTCAAAACAGGTCACTTTTGCAGGGGGGAATCTTCAGGCTCTTCGGGTTGTGTTATAAGACTCGCTAGCACTAGGTGCCTGTGCATGAAGGGACCAGTTAATGATACCTGAGCCCATGAGGGCAGCCAGGATGCCTTTCAGGGACCAGACGGGAAAGGGTTGATTCTGGTTTGCTCCCTAATAGTAAGTGCCTCACATGGGCTTCTGTATCGCTTGATTGATAGTGGTTTGAAGAGTGTCATAAAATACTCTGACTTAACTGTGTGTGTGCGTGTGTGTATGTGTGTGTATAAGGATCCACGGGTGTGTAATGGTGAAGCTGGCATTTAAATGCTTGTCAGGCTGTTCAAAGGACAGAGGCCCCTCATCTCCATGCCCAGGTCTCACCTCCCAGGAGAGTGGACCTACCTCCAGGCTTACATTCATTTCGTTTCTCCATGAAGAAAAGAGCAGCCATGCATGTGCTCTCTAGGACAGAGGCAGCCTGAGAGGATGGACAGGCTGGGACACCAGTCCTGGGGCAGATTTCAGCTCCTCCATTTGCATAACCAGGTGACATCAGAACCATGAGCCCTCACTCTCCGAACCTGAGTGTCCTCTGAGATGCCCGCTGCTGGTGTCTCACACAGAGCAGGTGGACATCTGTGGAACGAGTGGAGCAAGGGTTCCATCAACACGAGGTGCCCAGGAGCAGGTGTCAAGGCGAGATGCTAACCCTTGCTCTGCCCCCTCCTTCCTTTAGTGTCCTGTTTCCCAGTTCCTGAGGTCACCCTCATCTGGCAAACTATCTTCTCACCAATGGGGAACTGAGGTGCATGAGGATCTCTTTGCTGGTTGTGGAACATACCAAACACAAACCTTCAGTCACGGGGTGTTCTTCCTGGCTCCAGGTCTGAGTGGGGACTTGGTTGCCAGGGAGATGAAACCCTTTCCAGAACCTCTGATGGGTGGCTGTACCAGCAAGAACAGTGGGATGAGTTTTCCTTCCCTGTAGCAGAAGTGGCTTAGGAGCACCACGCTGGCACCCTATCCAGGGACAGGCCTGGTGTCTGCTGGGCAGCTCTCCTATTCTGCCTTGTCACCCTCTGGTCACTGTCACCATCACCATAAGCCTGTCTGCTGGAGGATGCACCAGGGGCTGCACTGATTCCACTGGCAGGTGTGAGTCCACGCCAGCTGCCTTCCAAGAGGCCTGGTGCACAGTGACAGACAAGAGAGGCAACAGTCACATGGAGAGACCTAGGAGGGGCTCAGGAATGAGGGGTTGGAAGGCAGGACTCCCACCTTCACACTCCCAAGAGGTCATGTCACAGCAGTCTCCACAGGAAGACTTCCCTGCCCTGAGGAGCCTTAGGGAGACACCACTTGCAAAAAAAAACGGCTGCCACAGGCCAATGTGCCTGGGGCTTTCTGAACATTTATGATTTTGGAAAAGTTATTTTCATGAGGAAAATTTAAACTTATCCACAGTCTGAGAGCCAATAGGTTATGGGAGACCCAGAGAAAATCATAAGCACAGAAATCCAAAATCAACACCCCCTCCTCTGGACACAGCTTCCCTACAGTACCCCTGCCAGGTCTGTTCTGCCAGCCTGGGCGAAGAGTCAGAAGAAGGGTGCTCTCATGGCTTGAAAGGACGCTGGTAATGCTCAG